TTTCACTTAAGCCTAATTTCCACCACACAGAGAAGGGGGAGCAGGTGTCACGGGCATCCTGCAGGCATGGACACTCAGCGCAGGGCAGAGTGCATGTGGGAAGGAGGCTGCGGTTTGGAGCGACTCCAGTCTCTGTGGTTTTGTTTTCGGTTTGGATTTTTTTGTTTTTGTTCTTGTTGTTTTTTGCTCCTCACTCTCAGCTAAGCACTGTGTGGGTGTGACTCTGTCCCCCACTGAGGAAAAGTCTTTATTCCTACAGGGGTGGGGACCATTCCGAGCTCCCAGAATTGATAGCAGCTCTGTAAAGGACATTTATGTTATTCACACACAGCTCTCTGCTCCCTCATACTTGATTCAGTGACTGGAATATTTTGGAAATTTTTATAAAATATTCAATCCTCTTGTGGGAACCAATACTGAAATCTTTCAGCTCCCTTTCCCTCTGTGTATTTTAAGAGTGTATGTGTGTGTGTGTGTGTGTGTGTGTGTGTGTAAGAAATGAAGTCAGATGTGATAAAACTGAAGAACCTTTCCTTTTGTCTTCAGATACTGCTGGTGGCAAACTAATAAGAACTGCACCAAGGTTAACTTTACCTGAGGCTGTGCTTATCTGCTCTGTGTTAACATCCTGTTTTATTTAGACGATGAATCTACTTGGGAAAGACTATGTTGAATTCCGTGTTTGAAATGCTCCTCGCACACTGTTGGCACTTAAATGTAATTATTCAAAATGGAATCATTTAATTAGATAGAAAGAGAAATAGCAAGCCTGGAGACCATAATAAAGAATAAAGCAAATATGCTGACCAAATGAAGCAGAACAACAGCCACTCACAAGATAGCTATGTTTCAGTTCTTCAGTTCAGGACACAGATAACAGGATAGCCACACGGCTATACACTTTGCTTTTTCTGGATTCACAGAAAGCAGAGCATGCACAGATATCACACACTGGTAACTCTGTGAGGCCGTAAGAATTGCAGTGCCTCATGCCCCACGTGACTCGGCTCCTTGCAAAAACCTAAGAGGAGGAGGAGGAAGAGGAGGAGGAGGAGGAGGAGAAAAAAGTGGAACCAGAACGTGAAGACAGGGAGACACAGAGACACTATAGGCCACAGGGCTTGACCTGGAATTAGGAGGGTATAGGGTGCTCTGTGTGCTGGACACCAGTCAGATCTACATGGTGGGCAGCTGGAGATCAGGACAATGGAAAGTCAGTTACTCATCCGATGGAAACACGGTGTTGCCGGCAGCAGGCATGGAAACATTTCAAAGAACTATTCAGCAGAAAACAGCCCTTGGAATTTGAACACTGGTGCACCTATGTCTCTATGGCCAAGACAGCCAATAGTTTGGGGTACATTTTAGGCCATGACAGGGCTCAGTCTTACCTCCTCCTCTGGCTGAGTTCCAGAGTACAGATTGGACCTTCCCTGGCTGCTAATCTTCAGCCTCCAGTCATTGAGGTACAAAAAATTTATTAAAGAATTAATTCAAAAACAGAGCCCTGTACAGGCTCCTAGGTGGGTGACCAAGGAATAAAACCTCATGCTCTATTAATATCTAGTCCTTAACTACCAGACAGTCCAATAAAAATTCTTAAATAAATTCATATCTCAGGAAGACATGTCAGATATTGCCATCATTTGTTTACAAAATTATAAACATTTTATAATGAAGATTGTTCACTGATTATAAAGGGCTAAACAATTTAATAATCTTTAAAGTAGAAAGAAATCAAATTTAAAAACACCCTATCAATTAAAATCTATCTTCCCAAAACAAGTGTTAAGGCGGAAGTAGCTAGCTTTACAGCCCTTTCCCAGGGTTCCATGGCTTGCAAGTTTACTTGGGCTTAATGTTTGAGAAGGGAAAAGGTCATAGAAAAGGATCCACTTGACCTGCCGTCCTCTCTTGACTCTGCTGCCTGGGTTGACTTTCTATTTTCAGCCGGACTGAAGTTCCTGGACAAAAGTCTTCCTGCATTGAAGCTTACTCTCTGATGCGCACTAGCTTCTTTGGATTTGATATGGTCATCATGGTATGGTGAATTCAGCTCTCCAGAAGTCCGTTCTTGCACTAGTCTTTTCTCATGCTCCAGTCCATTTTACTGGAGTCATCAGCAGCAGCCAACAAGTAATTGTCGAGGGCTGACTGCATGCATAGAATAAAGCCGGCATGCACCACAGAACAGCACAGTTCCGTGGTACTGAATGCAGGCAGAAAGGTTGGATGTGACACCTGGCTAGGTAACTTTCTACTGAGACCTTTGGACTAACCACCTCCCCTCAGTTTCCTAAGCAGGGAAGTAAGAATAAGTAGCTCATGGGGTTGTTATGGAGATCAAATGAAAAGCATGACGAATCTTAAACATTCAGTACATGTCAGCTATTACTATTACTGTTTAAGCCATTCCATTGGGCTTGCATGATAGTCAGAGCACTTTTTTCTCCAAGGGCTACCCTGGGGACTGGGGGGCAGGGGGAGGCAGTATGTGGGAATCTGCTGATCTGTGGGAACTTTGTCCTCCTCTAAGGTTATTGTTTGTAACTGGCACACATTGGTGTCATTAATTTCCTCCTTTGAGAGTACCTGTGTGACACTTTCCTCAAATGAGAGGTAAATTGCTGTTCAAGCTTCATCTAGCACCTGTTTTTAACTCTAACAGGAGTGATATTTTTATATTATAAAGTTGAGGCCAATAAAGAGAAACAGACAAGCAAGTGCTGCACTATATTGCTTCTCTGAGTAACAGATAATAAAAAGGAAATCCATGAAAACAGAGAGAAGGGAAATACCTTCCAAGTTCCAATGGTAAGCAAGGCACTTAAGGATGGGCGCTGGGAGTAATTTCTATTTTCACACCTTGTGCTTATTCACAAGTGCTCTGGTGCATTCTCCTCCCAGTCCTTTTGTAAACATGACAGACCAAAGCTAATCGGGCTATGAGGAAGGCTACTTTGTGTATTTGGGATTCCTTTCATCTTGGGGACACAAAGCACTCAAATGAACATAATCATACCACTTTAAAGATATCAGGAGTAAAGGCTGGAAGAAAAGGACAAAAATGGAAGTATAACTGGTTTTGGCAACAACTATGAAAGTTCCCACTTTCAGAAATGTCCTCTTGATCTACCCAAGGAGCTGGCAAGAGTGCGTCCAAGACAGAAGATAGGAGCAGAGGCTCCTCTGACAGTTCCCATGGGATGTTCTGGAAACGAGGTGCCTACCCCAAGTTGCCTGGGTCACCTGTGCCTCTTTGAAAGAGTCACAAAGCTGAACACAGGGAATGGGGAAATGTCTAAAGACTATGTCACACCTCAGCTTTCTAATTACACTCTCCCGCCATCCGGTTACTAACAAATCCAACCCACTTGTTGATGGGAGTTATGGGAACTTGCTTCTAAAGACTCAGTAAAAGGGACTGACTTTTTTACTGAAAACATTCTTAGAAAGTGGGTGTACTAACCGTACAAAGACATTTTCTCTACCATGTATAGAGGTCAAACTCCTTTTTCTTAAGTCTCAGATCTTGAGCTATCATGGGTTGCTGCATGAGTTAAAAAACATTTACTGGGTGCATAGCCTATATTTTGTACCATGCTAGCACTAACTCACAGCTTTGTCTAGCAAGGGAATAGAATCTATGAGTAAAAACAACAAAAAGCCCCTCATTAGTATCATTAGACCATTAGTATCATTACATATTACTGTGATCATATAATCTTAAAAGTATTCAGCTCATCATGGCAAAATGCTATGCTATCAGGGATTCTGACAGAATTATTAAAGAACTCAGTGGTAAGGTAGCAGGTTTGTGAAAATGGGTTAAATTTGAGGCAGTCCAGAAATACCTTGTTTCCAATCTAGAGGACAAACTTTTATGCATTTGAATATAAACTAAATTTGTGGAAAGATATTGGAACACTATATAATTTCTCTGTATTTTTGAATACTCAGTATTTTACTAACAGATTAGACTATGTTTAACCATACATAATATATACATTATATACTCAATCTGAGCACAGCTGCACTTTCTTGATCATATTTTGATCTCTGATACCTTCTTCTTTACCATGTTGTTTTCTAATATGCTGACTATACTGTATTCAAGAAAAGTGATAACTACATAGTTGGTTTATAATTCCCATCAACAACTGAAGTACATCTGATTTATGTGCAATTTGGAAGAACTTTATTTGACTTCGAAATTCTCACACAATGCTTCCATCAGTCTTGCTGATGAAGTTCAAGCTTTTAAACTACACCCATATTAATGTGAACTTTCTAGTGGCTGAGTTACAAATCTGAATCTATAATATGCAACTCACTCCTGTTTTCTCATGTGACCCTAGAGAATACCAGAGTCTATGAAGTGAGCAGCAACACATTAGCAAATTACAGGAAAAACAGGAAATCAACAGAACTATGAGAAAGTGTTGACTGCAAACATTTTACAAATAATTGAATGAAAGCAGTACTCACTGTGAAAAGTTATATTCAAGGTGTTTGTACACTGATGGCAAAAACAAAGAACAAAACATGTATAGATTTTATAGATTTTACCTATAGATGGCTAAAAAGTGATTTTTCTATGATCCTATAATACTTTAGATAATTATCTGTAATTAAATTATGGTGAAAATAATCAGCTTCAAGGAACTATTCCAAACAATCGCTGGACTACATAACATTCTTTTTCATAAAAGCAAGTGTCATGTGCAGCAAAGTGGCAAACACAACGGAGTGATCTGTGGTTAAGTGTAGATCCTATAGCAAGGGAAGTCATTTGTATTATCTCTACTTCTTTGAATAAATTCAGATGACAGCCCTATTTCATTTCTTCATTCAGTGTGGAGGCCAGATGGCATTAGAATCATTTACTTCACCTTGTTGTGCTTAATTACTACAATCAACACACTATTTTCCAAATTAATCATAACAAAGTAATTTCATTAGTAACACAGCAGGCTGTTGAATTATTAGCATCATAACAGTTTGCAAACAATTAAACTTTATTTGAACCTTAAAAATTTGCAGAGTGGAACATTATTGTAAGATCTAATGGCAATAGAGTACAAATTCAGTACAGAGCAAATAATCAAGCAAAATGCTATATAAAATATGACTTACAATCACCTTTGAAAAAATTAGCTCTCTAACTGTTCATAGAAAAACAAATAAAAGCTCTAAGCAAACATAATGAGAACATAACAATTAGCATATTTTCTAACAAGCCATGTTGTTTGAATTCACATTAATGATATTATTATGATCTTGAAGAGTATGTAATATATTGTCAAGGGTGTAAGGAAAAGTTTCTCCCTGGTAGTATACAAATGATTTCATCAAATGAATATAAAGTAGTCATGAATTGAAAGTGACGATTATTTTTTCTGTCACTGCCATTTTACATCTTTTGTTTCCTTTCCCATCTCTTCCACCTATACGCAAGTGTAAAAAGAACAAAGGCCAGAGGAGCTCTGGACAGAAGTAACACCATATTTCTGTACTGTCACCATTCAAAGAGAGACTGCCTGGTTTTTACGTATTGGTCATCAGTTGGCAAAGGACTCCCTCTCCTGGATTAGCTGTAAGGAAGGCGGAAATCTCCCAAACACTTGCGCATTCCGGGCAAGCTTGGGTGGGGGAGGGGTGCCAAGGGCCGCTGTGTGCAATGACAAGCTGCTGCCATCTACTGGCGCAGGACTAAAAACTTCACTTAAATTTGAGGCACAAATCCTGTATCAACAAGCGAAGCAGCAATGCCCGGTGACAACAACTGCTTTTGCTTCTCAGTCACCCAGCTTTGCAAAACAGTCCACTATGATTTTCTTGAGCTATCTAACTTTTGCCAGTATGATTTCCACCTGTTTCAATGGTGACATATTAGGAAAAAGGTATCAACTATACATATGTCATTTCTGAAAACCCTCAACTTGATGTGTCAATATATACAAACTTGAGTTTACTCACAATTCCTAAAATTAGGCTTTTCCCCCTTACGTCTGAGACTGGATTATCATGACATTCAAGGGATAATTGTAAATTAAACACTCTAATATTGCCTGTAAACAGTTTTCGGCTTATTTGTATGTTGAGACTCTTTGATAAAGCAAAGATCTGAGAAGTTCAACAAAGCTAGTACTTGCTAAGTAATGATTAGTATTAGGAGATTATGTCTATTCCAAATAACAAGTCAGTATTGGATTTTGACATTTATTAAGCATTTAAAATACTTCTGATTTCAAAGCCCAGGGAAAGGTGATGATAAGATTCCTCAGCTCTCACTCCAGCAGCACTGAGTATAACTCAAGTGTCAGGTCACTGCTACCTCCTTGCTTTCGCCTGTTGGTACATGTTCCCGCTGTGATTTCTAACCTTTCCTCTCTGAACCTTTGTTTTCTTTTAAGTGTTCTAACAAATGCAGGGGAGATTCCAATCTGAAGTTCTGCTGATACAGTGGAATTTTAATAACATAACAATGATAAGAGTGCCTATTTATGTCTTCTTCTTTTGAGACTATTTTGAGATTGTTTACAACATTATGTAGTGGTAGAAGAGGGTTTCTTATGAATCTGTTATTCATTAAATTTAAATAGAACTGTGGTAGAAAGCATTGACAAATCCATCAACAAACCAAAATATCTGTTTCAGTAAAGTGCTCTGCACAAAAATGGTTCCGGTTTGCACTTGTACTTCAAGTGACAGCACACTTCCACTTGTAATTCCATTGCTTTTTCCTTTCTTGTGGTTACACTTAACAGGAAACAAATTTGCCAATTTGTAAAATTTCTTTCTCGAATCACATTACTACTATAAGAAAAATACTAAAGTAGATTATCTATAAAGCTTTGACATAAATATATTCTTTAGCACCTACCCAAAACTTGCATGACAATTTCAAATAAAATTCTATGGAATTATATATTACACTCTAAAAGTAACTGATGTCCAATGATTAAGTGAAATTACAATTCACACTAGAAGTAGCAATGACTATATGGTCCATATAAGATAGTAATGAATTCTTCAGACAATCAAACAGGTAAATAAAAACTGTAATACTTTGCAAAAACAGCAACAGGTATAACTTAACTGCCTGCATCTAATTTACATTAATACCCCTCATTTAATTTCACATCAGAGGACTATTTTAATGAACATCTATATAAAGTAATAGTCAAAGACATTCAACAAAACAAAGAAAGGTTATGAGCTGTCACTCGGGCATTCCTGAGGCTTCTAAATCAAAAGCATTTGCAGACAGTCAGAAGACTCTTCTTTTTCTGCAAGCAGAAAGGAAAAGCTGAGTTTTAATATTTTTCTTTAGGAGAAATGTTGATTTTTCTAGCTTAGAAAAGATTTACAATTCTAGTCAAGGAAAACTGAATATTTTCTCAACATTTTATCAACTTAGCTCCTTAAAAAGGTCACAAAAGTGTTTTATTAAAGAGGAGGACATTTGGGGAAACAGCTGGTTATTATCAAAGGAACTTTCTCTAAATATTCTATTCATTTCCAAAGTTAATTCTATGAAGGTATTTTTTAAATTAAAGATTAAACAAAAAAGATGTGGGGTACCATCTTTGTGTTATCAAAAAATTATAAAGACTTAAAAAGACAAAGACTCATAAGAAAGGGACCAAGAGAACATATGAGTTATAACAAGAGTACGGGATTAAAATGTACTTACCAGGACTCTCAAATATCATACATCTCCATTATGTAGGCTTTAGGCACCAAGCCAATGGCTCCCTTCATTTCTCCTACCCACCAGCCATATCTATTGTATTCCTAATTGAAAACAATATGCAATATTAACCTTTAGATTGGTGTAAGTACAATGTGGTTTGTATGCAACTTCTTAGAAATGTTATTTCTTTTTATAAAGTTACAAGAGCTTGAGCTGCAAAAGGAAACACTGTCATCTTTTTTGTTTCTAGACACTTTAAAAATGCTGTTAGGCAAAGATTTAAATTAATGTATGACACAAAGCCTGTTTATTACTCTGTAGAATACAGAGGCAGTCACTCACTCATGGTAAGAACCTGGAAAATGAAACTGCTTCAGGAAACCTGTTCTCTAGAGAAAGTCGGCCTCTCTCTCGCACTCTCTCTCTGTCTCCTTTCCCTCACTCTCCCTCCCTCCCTACTCTCTCTCCCTGTCTCTCCCCGTCACTATCTCTACCTCATGCCCCCTCCATAAGCCTAGGTCTATCTTTTATATATGTGCACCAGTGCCAGAGTCTATAAAGTTAAAGTCAGGATCCCAAAGGTTTATTTGCCTTGAAGAAGCTTATTATCTAACAAGGATAATTTTTTTGCAACAAACTACTTAACTTCTACTTAAACTTGTATGACCTGAAATGATTTAGAATGTACAGCCTTAAGTAAATCTAATATACACATTTTAAACAGATAAATCAGAGTAAGAAAATACTAATATAAAACAATTTGTTTTTCAAAATAACACACAAATAGATTCCTTCAGAATAACATGCCTAAGGCATTTATTGTTCCCTTTATTGATCATAAACCATATTATATAAGGATAGGTGGAAAGAATTTAAGCTGGTATTAGATTCACCCTTATAGTGGAAGATCAATAGGAAATAAAAGTACCTCAAGTTTTAAAGGCAAAATATTAATCTAGCTGTAAAAAAGAGTGATTGATGAGGCACTTCTACATTTACTTTGCAATGTGAGATAAACAAACCCGTGCCTCCTCTTCCTTCCCTTTATCCCCCATTGACAGACATACCACTGCTTTAGGCATAACAAACACTTTATAACCAGCCTCATATGTCTGCCAGATTGATTAATGTATTTTTATCTTAAATTTATTTATGTTTCGTGAGATACAAACAAAGTAAAATGAATCACAAGTTTCAAGAATAATATCTTCCAAAAGCAATACTCTGCACAAGCACTGTAGAGCCAAAATTTAATTTTTCATAGAAGATAAATTTTTAAAATCAATCCCCCAAGTAATTCAATAGGTTATGATTTTCCAGCATCTGAGTCATAGATAAATGTGCATATGCATGCTGAGTTACATGTGGGGAGGGAAGGTTACTACCACTACAGACTGAATATTTGTATTGATTAGCAAGCTACTGACCATTAGAAAGGAAAATTATGCACCTCTTCAATATAGTGTGGCTACAACAGCATGTATGTATTGATATATAGTCTACCAGTAGAGGGATCATAGGAGAAAATCTATAGGTGCTTTTTTAAACAATGGGCAGTGTTAGAATTAGGTTTATTAGAAGAACAAAGTGGAAGACTAACCCTGAACTTCTTATTCTAAGGAAGGCACAGTTCTGGCTCGGGGGGCAGCAGACTCAAGCCAGTAGGCTGAAAAGTTCACTCATAATACGAACTTAGTGGACAAAACTGTCTAAGCAACAAGAACACTCTGAGCCCAGAACTCGTTAATGATGAGTGTACTCTATGTAGAATATATTTATCAGAAGAAAATACTAACTCACTGAAAGCTATGATTAGCAGCCATTATATACTAATAGGTACCTAATAAAACTGCCCTTTTCAATTTTTAAGGCAATGAATATAATTAGAGCCTAATGCTTAGCAAAACAAAAGTACTTAACCTTCCATACACCAAAGGTCCATACTGTAAGTTGTCAAATGGATAATTAACAGGGTAGGTGTGAGTGTAAAAGCTCTTACCCAATGCCAGTCTTAGATTTTTCAAACTGATTATTTGACAAGATGAAAGGAACTCACCTTCTAACGGTAGATACAGAAAATATTTAGTGAGAGGACATATCACTGACCTAAACCTGCTTCCAGAGAATGGCCTTCAATATTAGTGACAATGTTTACATTCAAATCACAAGTCAGAAAGTTCATATGACTTTATAATAACTCTACTTTGTCAACTAAGGATACAATATTCTCAAAACCTAACTCACATCCACATTTAGGAACTGATTTTCATGAAATCACATTGACAAAGGACAGATGACAGGGAGAGAACTGAGAGAATTCACACTTAAGAGAATTCTAGACTATGGTAGACCAGCAAGGTTCACTAAGTAGAAAGCACAGTAGGAAACAGCAGGGAGGAGCTTATTCAGCTGTACACAAATTCCTTAAAAGTAACATTCAAGGAGAAAAAAATGCTACATTAGTATCTTAAATGCTTCATTTAATTTAAAACAATTAAAATTGTATAAAATACACACCTCATAGAAGTATTCTAAAATATCACAGATCTAAATCAGAGAAGGTAAAAACAAAAACCAGAATATTTATTACTTTACATTTGTAAAGAATTCCACATAATACTCCTGTGTGGAATTAGGAGATGAGATAAAATATGGGGAGGTAGAAATCTAGGAGGCAAATTTATGGATTTGTTCTGCAGCCATTAGAGTACTTCGACACGACTGCAAACACAGGAGCTTTCCTTCCATCATTACCATCCTCTGGATGGGCCTCCTGAGCCACATGAATCCCAATTAAACCATTTGCAGACTATAAATTGGAATGAGAATGCTTCTTGGAGTACCGTATTCTAAACTTCAGTCTGAAGATTCAACATCACACGAGGCCTCCTTTTGAAGAAGAAAATCAGCCTCTATTTGCCTTTCCTCCTTGCCGCCTCCAAACAAATGTGATTTTGAACGATATATTACTTACAGTAGAAAATAATGTGATCGATATAATTTTTCTTGCAGTTCACATGTATTGTTCTATGAAGTCATAGGTGGATATGAATGAATGAAGGAAGGAATGAATGAATCTCTCAAGCCTTACCATATTAATAAACAAACAAAAAAGAGACAAACCATACCAGGCTGCCATCTAAATCTTTGATAGGTTAAGAAGCATCATCTTTATGGCACCCGAGATCTCAGGTACAAGAAGGTCTGCCATCTGGTATCCCTCACCCTATTCAGCTCTTAACATCAACTGAAATGCTAACATAGGCAAGTGACTGTACTTCCGGAGAACTGATAAAATAATGAAGAGTCCTTTAATCTACAGGAAACCATTCTAGTCAATTTATAAGAAATATTGCATCCCTTTGTAGGACATGTAATTATTTTCTATTAATCATGTGCTATAAAGCTACATTATGCGGTTATTCTGTTATCACTAGAAAGAGGCCTGCAGTCAGCTTCTGACAGTGTTAGGTAATTACTAACACAAAGCTGCTTTCTCTTCCTGCAGTAATGCTATCAAGATCCAGAGGTGTAGTGATGCTTATTGTATAAAAATAGCACTCAAAAGAAATTCAATATCTGCAAAATGGATGGCTTCGAGGCAAAATGTAATGTGGCAGTCAAAGAAGCAAAAGACGCCAAATTTGCCCAATAATCCGAGAAAATAATAGTAAGGTGGCACTGAATGCTTGCAATCTAACTCCTGTGTTTTCAGTTCTTATGCCATGAAAATCACCTTATGTGTTTTACTTGACAGTTAAAATTTTAGGCCCCAATTATTATTTATTGAGCAATAAATTAAAGTGAGTGTGTAATAAGGCAGAAAAAAAGATTAGCTTTTTAGTTTTGATAAAGTGAAACACAGACTTTATTCAACACAATAGTAAGCATATCTCCATGTTTACTCATTAACTAAAGCTTCTCTCTCTGCTGGTGTATTATTTTACACTTAAATAAGGCCCCAACATTTACTTAAATCCTTTTCTGCACCATGACTCTAATTTCTCAAGTATGCTAATCCTCTTTCTGTAAACCATATGGGGAAAGAAAGCTGCCTTAACTGAAAAAAGCACTTCTGAGGTTTTGTGATGTACTAACCCTTCCAGACATACTGACATATTTGAAAGCAACAGGTGTCTCAAATGTTAAAAGCCTATGCATCCTTTTTCCAAACACTTATCTGCTTCAGAATATACTACCCTTTTTGTGGAAATGAAAGTGATTTTATTCACAAAATATAAAGTACAGTAAGTTGAAGAACCAGTGGACTTTATTATTATTTTCCAAGTACTGACTGTGATAATTATTCATAAACATTGTAATGTAATAGTGTGAAAACTAAGTTTTTTAAACACATAAATACTTTCTTGAAGGCTACCTCTTCAGCCTCTTCCTTTGTATTGTCTCTACTTGGAAATTTAAAAGATCATTCATTTCTCATATTTGCAGCACTTCCCAAGGTTCCCTTAATGAAGGCACCACAGAAACTTTGTGACACTTAGTTTCCGAACCCATTAAGTGAGGAAACTCACTCTCACCATCTGGAGGCCTCTCTGATATGTGATCACTACTCAGAAACCTGTTTGAAGAACTAAGTTTCCTGCTGGCTTACAGAAGTCAGCCTCATTATTTAATAATTTGCTGGGCAGGTTTGACACTGAGCTCCTTTCAGAATTACTATTTTTTTCCTTGCACTCTGTACTCCATTTTAATTTTTTTAAAATTAAATAAAGTTAATGGGAAAAATTAAAAAAAAAAAAAAAGAACAAAATCAACAAAAGGAAATTGGAACCAAAAAAGGGAAAACCTGAATCCCCCTCTTTTCCCAATCCCCCCCCCCCCCCTCAAACCCCCCTCCCCTCCCTAATCAAAAAACAATTCAACCCTACTTTCCCAGTTTTTTCTTTTCCCTTCCTCCCCCCCAGGTCCGCTTTCCTTTTGAACAATTTCTTCCTGTTTTATAATATCTACTATTTTGGTTCTTATCTACGCTTTCAGTTTCTCATACCAGAGAGATAACTGCAGTATTTACACATGAATCTGATTTATTTCACTTACAATTATGGTCTCAAGGCCCATCCATTTAGCTATAAATGTCTCA